TCGGTTAAAAATTGCTAAAGAATTGGGTGACAGATCGGGAGAAGGAGAAACATATGCCAATCTTGGCGTTGCTTATGACAGTCTGAGAGCCTTTAAAACAGCAGTAGACTACCATGAACGTCACCTAAAAGTTGCGAAAGAATTGAGTGACAGTTTTGGAGAAGGAAGAGCGTATTTCAATCTTGGCAATGCCTATTACAGTCTGGGAGATTTTAAAGGAGCTAAAAACTACCACGAAAGTCATTTGAAAATTGCAAAAGACTTAGGTGACAGATGGGGAGAAGGAAGAGCGTATTGCAATCTTGGCAACGTCCATAACAGTCTGGGAGATTTTAGAACAGCTTTAGAATACCATAAGCGTCACTTGTTAATAGCTAAAGAACTGGGTGACAGATCGGGAGAAGGAAGTGCCTATGGCAATCTTGGCAACGCCCATCACAGCCTTGGAGATTTTAAGAGATCCATAGAGTACCATGAACTCCACATGAAAATTGCTAAAGAATTGGGTGATAGGTCGGGCGAAGGAAGAGCATATGGCAATCTTGGGAACGCCCATTGCGGTCTGGGAGATTTTCAAATAGCCATTAAGTACCATGAACTTGACCTAAAAATTGCAAAAGAAATGGGTGACAAATCGGGAAAAGGAAGAGCCTATGGCAATCTTGGCAACACCTATCACAGTTTGGGAGATTTTGACACGGCCATAAACTACCTTCTTCGCGACTTGAAAATTGCCAAAAAGTTGGATGACAGGTCGGGAGAAGGAAGAACGTGTTGCAATCTTGGCATCGCGTATGGCAGTGTCGGAGATTTCAGCACATCTATAGACTACCTTCAGAATAGCCTTAAAATTGCAGAAGAATTGGGTGACAGATCGGGAGAAGGAAAGGCGTATGGCAATCTTGGCAACGTCTGCCTCCGTCTACGAGATTTTAAAGGAGCCAAAGACTACCATGAACGTCATCTCAAAATTTCGAAAGAATTGGGAGACATATCGGGAGAAGGAAGAGCATATGGTAATCTTGCCATTGCCCATCAGAGACTGGGAGATTTCAAAACAGCCATAGACTACCTTAAACGTAACCTGAAAATTGTGAAGGAATTGGGTGATACATTGGGAGAGGGAAAGGCGTGTTTCAATCTTGGTAGCTGTTTTGAAGATGTAGGCCAAGTTTCAGAAGCTATTGGAAATTACCGGCTCAGTATTAAGTTGTTTAATAATATCCGAGGTCGTCTTCAGTTGAAGGATGAATGGAAAATTAGCTTACGGGATCAATACCAGACAGTATATGCTGCGCTTTGGCGCTTGATGTTAGCAGAGGGCAAGGTTATGGAGGCTTTGTTTTCTGCTGAGCAGGGACGGGCACAGGCTCTTAAAGACCTTCTGGCATTAAATTATGGATTTGAGTTGAATGATACTGAATCAGATAAAGAATACAAAGCCTTTCCTGAACTGTACAGTCGCACTCCTCCGAATACAATATTTATGGCGTTTGGAAAGAGCGAATTGGTTTTCTGGGTTTGTCAGAACGGAGGAGAGTTTGCGTTGAGAAAAAAGCAGATCAGTTCAGCGGATGAGATCAGCACTTTCTTTGCGTCTCTCTTGGCGGCTATGCGTCAGGAAATTGAACAGCACTTACACCTTAAAAAAAGTGCCTTACATACACTGTACGACATCATCATTGATCCCATAAAAGATCTTTTTTTGGGAAGTGAACTCATATTCATCCCTGAAGGTGCACTTTGCTTGGCCCCTTTTGCTGCTTTTAAAGGCCCAAATTCCAAATACCTCTGTGAATCATTTAGAATACGAGTGGCGCCATCTCTCACCAGCTTAATAATGATTACTGAGTGTCCAGTAGATTACCACTATAAGTCTGGCGTACTTCTTGTGGGTGATCCGTGGGTGCAAGATGTGACAAACCTATCGCAGTTGCCATGTGCCAGAGAGGAAGTAGAAATGATTGGTAGAATGCTTGGCTGTACGCCTCTTACTGGAAGACGGGCCACAAAAGATGAGGTGTTAAGACAACTTGGTTTGGTTGCTTTGGTGCATTTCGCGGCACATGGCAGCTTACAAACGGGCGAAATTGCCCTGGCTCCAAATAATGGTGAAAAGGATTTCATGTTGACGATGAAAGATGTAAAGCAAGTTCAAATGCAAGCAGAACTAGTTGTTCTTAGTTGCTGTCATAGTGCTCAAGGAGAGGTCAAAGCAGAAGGTGTAGTGGGCATAGCACGGGCGTTTTTGGGTGCTGGTGCTCGTTCTGTTCTGGTGTCGTTGTGGGCGATTAATGACGAGGCCACGCTTGAGTTCATGAAACATTTTTATGAGCATCTTGTGGGAGGAAAAAGTTCGAGTAAAGCTTTGAATCAGGCAATGAATTGTATGAGAGAATCCGAGGAGTTCGGCGAAATCAGGCATTGGGCACCTTTTTTGCTAATTGGTGATGATGTCACATTAGAATTCGCTGAATGTGGTAACCGTAAAGGTAAATGAGCTCTCTTCACGTTACTATCATAGTTCAGGAGTTTCTTAAGGTAGGCCATAAACACGTCCATTTTAATAGTAACTATCTCTTCAGGGTTGATGAACGTTGCGAAATGAAAATTAGATGGGCTCAATACCCGGGACCCGGAGTGTCAGGAAATTTATTTATGGGGTGTCAATTTTCAAACTTGATGTGTGAATTCGCGTTGAAATTTTACTTTCAGACAAGCAAAGATTGTGGAATTCTAGCATTTCCTTAATAGTAGCAGGAAAAGGAAATTAGAACTTAATTCGTTTGTAAAAATAATGTTGAGTTACTTTAAAACATTTGGAAAATGGCGTCAATTTTTTTTCGATGTGGTGTTCGATATTTTTGTCTATGTGCCTTGTCTTTAAGTGAGTAAAAATTCCTTTAAAATTGTTCGCTGCATCCTTGGTAGATTAAAGGTACATTTTTTCAGTGGTATATGACTAAACCTGGCGAATCTCAGGGCGATTTTGTAGTTTTTCAGCTTTCAACTTCAACCTCGATTCGGTCCAGTCTATAATGGCCGCCAAATTAGGCATAATTCTTCGCTGCATTGTGCTCTCTCTTGGTCTTTTAAAAAAACGAGTTTTAAGTTCTGGTGATTAAACAGCTGTTCTTAAGGTTTGTTGTGACACTGATGCGTTTGTAATACATAAGGTAAACCGTAGGCCCCGTCTCACAACCCTTGCACATATAAATTCTTTTGGCACTTAAGATCCCACACAATGTGTCCCATAGAGGACATTGTCCCCGGTGTGGTGGTCTATCTCTCATTTTTCGTTGCAATGACGCTGCCAAAATTGGCAAACCTAAGTTAATGAGCTAGATTTGACGCAGTCGCTGAGAAAATTCAGACCTTCAATAACTGACAAGAGAGTAAATGAAAAGATCGAGGTGCAACACACAAAAAACAGCTTTGATTACCTTACATAAAACAAGCCGTTGCCTACAAGCAGGAAAAAGGGCTTGTAAGTTCTGTCAATTTTATGAATACAGTAGTTCGCTGTTGCGTCAACATTTTGTGATAACGGTTTACGTAGAAACGCGAATTACTATTAGATCTTTTTGTCGTACGTCTGGGAGCTAGTAGGTAAGACGACAATTCTGAAGTACAGATGCAAAAAACTGGAAAACAGGAAGAGTTTATTTGTCTTTATCTTTTGCATGTCCTTATCCAATGTTAGACCAGCCCATATCATACATGGAGAGAAGTCCAGAGGCAAGTGACGTTACATCAGCTGCTGATAAAACACTCCAGTGTGATGATGACACCTTAGGAGGTGAGGGGAAGTATGCTCTGTCCTTTACATGATATAATGTCAAAAGTAGAGAAATTAAATTCGATGAGAGCATATATCTAATTGTACATCCATTTGGTCGTGTGAAGTAAAATTTAATTCTCTTTTTAATTGGGTAAACCTCTTGTGGGAATAGCTCAAACGATCAGAAATTATTTGATTTGGCTTTCGTACAATATAAAGAATTATGCAGATCGAAGAGGATGCTATCTTCCGCTGTGGTCTGCATAATTCTTGAACTTAAGAAAGCTGTTTCAACATTCAATCGTAATATTTCCATCACCCAACTGCTGTTCCTTTTTGTGTCAGTTATCCCTAACAGTGACTCATTTTTTATGATATCAGCATTATCTTCCAGCTCATCGTGAAGAATTATCCTGTTGATTTGACCCAATCTGAAAAGGAGAAATATCTTAAATGGACAAAAACAAATACTATGCAGGTTTTATTTCTAGAGTTGAGATATTAACATCATTATATGTTGCTGCATTACAGTATTCGCAGAGGTTTAAAAGAATGAGTTTCTACAGTGCCATCAACTTCTACACTGAAAGTATTAGAGTGAACTGCAGGGATAAAGAACTGACTGCCAACCTGTACATTAACAGGGCAGCAGCATATTTAATTTAGGGTGAGAAGTTGCAATTGATTGTCGATTTTTTTGTATTTTGACGGTATTTTGCGTGATGCAGGAACTGACTTACCAATTTAAGACTACTTTAAGGAGTAGTCAGTGCTAGTACATATACGATGTCGAAGTGATTCTAGGCGTATCAGCTATTGTCAGTCGCCCGTCATGTTCTGACCTGCCTTTCTGTTGTGTGTGTTCATTCTTTGCAGGGAATTACACTGAAGCACTGAATGATGCAAGTACAGCAACAATGGCCATCGACTTACTACCTTCTTTTTTAAAAGATTTTGCTGAGGCACGTAAACTGTCCTGGATTTCTATCCTGACACGAATGATCTCGACTTGGTTGTAGCTAACCAATTCGGCAAATATCCTGTCGAAATATTGATTATTCCTTATTGTATGGCTAAGGAAACTACCACTCATATGAAACTGTTCTCGGCATCTTAGTTTGTTTTAAGCAGGAGTATGGTACTCTGTCTCTCCGATCTTTGTTTACCATACTCAGTAGTTTGGTACATAGTGGGTGAGTGTGGCACTGATCTTTGATCACTTGGATTAATTTTTTGTCGGTTTTTTTGTTGGAGTGTTTCATCATTTTTAGCTGGTTGTAACAAGAAAACCGCAATTAAAAAAAGATTACACATTTACCAAGGATCAGAATATTTTATATAACGGCATGTATACATGTTTATTTTACAATACTTTATTTCAAAATAGCAAGCATTGTTACAAACAAGTGCAGTTATTAACCCATTCGCCCCTGAACCGCCCGTAACCGCCCGTGCGGATCCAGGTCCTTTCTACCCATTGTGACGTCATCAGTTTTAACGGTCAAGGACAACTTTCTTCACTAACTTGTGCAGAGTCAAGAGATCTTTCAAACCCCACCTACCTTTCCTTTCGCCTAATCCTAAGGTCCTTAAAGCTTTCCTAAAAACTCTTCCCACCAAAATCAAGCCTACTAAATGCCCAGCAAGAGAAAAAAAAATGAGGCAAGAAAAGCAAAAAAAGAAGGGAGGAGAGAAAGCGAAAAGTAAAAGTCAAGACTGCTGTGTCACTTTTAAACCCAAACACTGTCGAAATTTTGCTTTCTGCGCATGCCCGAACTTCGCAAGCTGATATTTTGCATCTGGATCAGAAGGCCGCGAAGTGTTCAACCAGTTTGTGGTAAGTTTTAGCTCTTTATAGCACGACAGTGACCAGAAAACCACTCGACTAGCTTCAAAACGTGTTTTTCGGCAAAATCTCCCGGAGCGAATGGGTTAAGAAAAAGGAAACCCAGAGGTCAACCCTATATTAAGGATCTCCTAAAAGAGCAAAAAAATATGTATATAAATATAACAACAAAATATTTACATTATATAAAAGCAAGTTAATAAAAATATATAAAAATTACAGAAACATCTTTAACAAAGTGTGAAATGTACATTCAATAAATATTCATGTGATTTTTCAATCTTAGTTTAAACTTGTTGATGTTTTGACTGTCGTGACAATTAATTACGTTACTTGGAAGATCGTTCCAAAACTTGATTATCTTCACAAAGAAGGAATATTTATAACAGTCTAATTTTGCGAGTTTGGTTTGTATCTTATATTGATGGTTGGATCTCGTCTTAGTGCTCTTTCACAGTTCAAAATAATCACTGAAGTTTAGACCATTCAGATTGAATACGACCTTATAGCACTTACCCGGAGATAGGAATTCTCTCCTTCGTTCTAAAGAGTTCCATTTAATAATTTTACACCTATTCGCATATGTCATCTCCAGTTTTTCTTTGGCCTAGGGCGATTCGTGAAGCTCCTTTGTACCTTCTCAATTTCATGGATGTCTTTAGGGACTTGTCAGAAATTAGCAGTGGGGGGGGGGGGGTGGAAACAGAGGGAGGGTCACAACTTTTTGAGACTCAGAAAAGGGAGGGGTCATGAAAAATGGGCCTTTAAAAGGGGGAGGGTCATGCAAATATATGCCCATGATCATGTAGCAGTTCACCCACAGAAGAAAAAGAAAGTTCTTTATTTGGTAAAAAAAAAAAGAGCAACGGAACATTATGGATATTAACTGTGAAGTACTATTGCAAGAATTCAACAAACATCTACTTTTCTCTTATAACAATGCTATAGTCTTATTGCAATTATGAATAATGTTGTTGTTAATGTTATTATAGTTTTGGCTATCCTTTTCATCCCTGTCTTCAGCATCACCATCAATGCTGCTGTGAGCATCTTGATCATCATCATTTATGTCATCAGCATTTTATTTTATTTATTTTATTTTATTAGCTTCGTATTGATACAATCACTTTCATCATCATCATGATTTTCATTTAAGTTGAAGCGTAGATATTGCTTGATAATTTCATGTGATTCATTGGTGAACAATCCCTTCTGAAAGGGATATGTGGCCTTTATGTTTTGAGGAGCCCACTTATTCCTTCAAAATGAAGAAATAATGGGCCAATAGGCTCTGTAGCATTATGCGATTCTTGCTGAGGTGCAACGGTTTCGATAAGTCTTTTGCAGTTAGCTTCCATTCTTTTTGCCCTAGCTTTTTTTGCTTTCCTTTTATTTTGTTTTTCTTTCCTCTTTTTTCTTTTTTCTTGTTGGCTTAAAGAGCCTGGGACATTTTTCTTTCAATTCTGCAAGGTGGGGAGGGTCATGATATTTTAGACCAAGCTCAAGGGGAGGGTTAGCAAATGTCACTCCTATTGCAGGGGTGGGTCACCTAATTTCCGGACCCAAATTTAAAATTTGCACCCCCCCTCCTCCCCCCCTGCTAATTTCTGACAAGTCCCTTAGCTAGATGTGGTGACCACACTGGGCTAGCGTATTCCAAGATCGGTCGAACGAAGGACTTATACAAAATTGAAAAAATGTCCTTATTTTTACTCCCTACTGTGCGTTTAAGTAAGCCAACAACCTTGTTTGCATTATGATCTGTTCCATTGACATGTTTTGTCCAGGTCAGGTCATTCGCCGTGATAACTCCAAGATCTTTGTAACTGGATACATTTCTTAACTCAGTACCCGAGACTTGGTACCGTGTGGT